GGAGACGAGGTCACATCACAAAGGTTTGCAGAAGCAAACAAAAAGTTTCTTCTCTCTATAACAATGGAGTCTAAGAAGGTCTTCCTTGGATTTTGAATGGAGCACCATCTGACACCGTTGCAGCCTCCCCATGGTCACGTGATCAAAATCCAGGTGTGTGGCAACTGGTTCACAATGATGACGGTTGCGGCATCTCGGGGTCACAGGATCCCCTTTTGCAACCTTCTGACAAGCAAAGGATGCAATCAACAACCATGTTACTAACAGCTGCAGTGATTCACTTAACGGTGGCAAGAAAGGTCATAAGATGGGGCCATTAACAAATGTTTCACTTAGCAACAGACATTTTGGGCTCAGTTGTGGTCGTAAATCAAGGACTACTCTATTCCCTTGACATTAAAGGCCTTAATAATTCAGCACCAGACATCCTGATACCATTGCCCTGTATTGCTTGATTGCACATGATGTGCAGATGGTGGCATTTTAAGAGCATCTCTGCGCTTGTTTGGTCCAGCCTCACAGTCACTTTTGCACGTTCTGCTCTTCAGGTGTCTGCAGTTGAGTGTTCTTTGTTCTTACAGTTGGAAAGATCTTGCATTTCGGGTGCTTTTTTTGGCTGCTCCCCGGTGTGCACTCCAGGAAGCCTGTGTCAGGACTGTCATCCACCTGCACCAGCCACGCTTTGCCAGATACGAGTCTGCTCTACGCAATGAGTGGAAGGAGCTGTGGGGAGATAAAGGGTTGAGATAAGGGGAAATCAAAACTATTCATTGTGCCCTCCTGTGAGAGCCACTTGCTGCTCCAAAGTCACACCTTGTAATGCAACACTCTCCAGCCCAACAAATCAGGGACCGTTACCAAAACAATTTGTTTGACTGTAGTTGGACAAGGGGAGATATCCAGAGGGAAAGGTAAGGAGGAGGTGTGTATGGAGTTTGCACTTGTGCATGTAGGTTTAGAGTTTAGAATAGAATAGAATTCTTTTTTATTGGCCAAGTGTGGTTGGACACACAAGGAATTTGTCTTGGTGCAAATGCTCTCAGTATCCATAAAAGAAAAGAGACGTTCGTCAAGAGTCAAGAATCATCAGGTGCAACACTTAATGATAGTCATAGGGTACAATCAGCAATCAAATCATACTAGGAAACAGTCCATATAAATCGTAAGGATACAAGCGACAAAGTTACAGTCCTACAGTCACGAGTGGGAGGGGATGGGCGATAAGAAGTGATGAGAAGATTAATAGTAATAGTAGTGCAGACTTTGTAAATAGTTGGACAGGAATTAATAGTTGACAATAGTTGAGGGAATTAATTGTTTATCAGAGTGAGGGCGTTCAGGAAAAACTCCCCTTGTGTCTAGTTGTTCTGGTGTGCAGTGCCCTATAGTGTCGTTTTGAGGGAAGGACTTGAAACAGTTTATGTCTGGGATATGAGGGGTCTGTAAACATTTTCACAGCCCTTTTTTTGACTTGTGTAGTATACAGGTCCTCGATAGAAGGCAGGTTGGTAGTAATGGTTTTTTCTGCAGTCCTAAATACTCTCTGAAGTCTTTAGAGTTTCAGTGTGGCTGAATTCTTGAGAGTTTTACCAGAGTTTTTACCTGGTTTCTTCTTCCAGTTGGGTCAAGGGACTCGCCGTGGAAGTTGGCTGTGCTGTCTGGAATTCCCAGACTTGTATTCTTAACATGCCTGGTGAGCTGTGCTAAACCAACATTGTGGAAGATTAATTTCTTCATTCTTGCGGCATTATCAGTAACTGTCACTTTTTGTAATTAAAGTTGAGATTGTATCTTCATCGCTATGATTGGTTCAATTGCTGAAAAACATAAAACCCTCTGGAGAAAGAGGGTTTAAAAAGCTTGAATGGAATCCTAATTGAATGGAATTCAAAATGCTTTGTGTCATCGTGATGTCTTAGCAGACGGGACTGCGTGACAAACAAGCATTTTGCTCTTTTATTCTGGACACCGGGGGCTTCTCACGACACAAACAGAGCCCGATTTGAGGCTGGGCCTATTTTAATTGCTGGATTTAATTTCTCAAATATTTACCTTGGTACAAGAATTAAAACAAATGTTGCAAAAAGTCTGGGATTTTGCTAGGTCATGAAAATTAAATGGGTCTGTGGCGAATAGACCTACATTTTTGATGTTCTGGAAAGTCCCCCAAGGGTTTAACTTGCATTTAGATTAAATTGGTCTGCTGAGCAGCACACTCTGGTCCCAGATGTGGTTTTCCTAATGTGGCTTGATGACATCTGAGTCAAAAGGGATGCTTCTTTCCAGGTGACCTCTACTGATCTCTGTCAGTAGGGTTCCAAGGAAACAAACACGAAACAGAGGTAACAGCAAAACCTTTTAATGATTCTTCACGAATTCCGTTCCTTCCTGGTTAAAAGGCTGTTTCAAACTATTTGTCTCTGATAAGAATGTGCCTTGCCAAGGTGGTGCAAGGCTGCCAAGAACACTAGATAAAGTTGCCAAGAAATAGTTCAAACACAAAGAGTCCCCAAACACCAACCAAGATACTCCAAACGTCCACAAGGCTTGAGTGCAAAAACTTATTTGCTTCCTGCAAAGAACTCTGGTTTCTTAGCTGGCTTTTATCCCTTATGGGAGGGGCCATCACCTTGCAGCCTTACACCCAAGTTGCCTCAGCCCTGCATGCACACGCACTGGGCACAGGCTCCTCGGGGACCTCTTCATCACTGCTGCCAGCCTGCACAATCTCCAAAGGCAGCACTCCACTCCCTGATGGTCCTGGCCCCAACCCTGCATCACACACAGGCTCCTCATCTGAGTCCTCGCTCTCCGAGACCTCAGCCATCCGCACCTGCTGCCAGCAAACCACAACGGGGACGGATGTACGGACATTTTTTTAGTTCTCATTCTGGCCTCCAATTCTCCCATGCAGGTGCTAACCAGCCAGGGATGTTGGCAAGGTATGGTCAAAAAAGTCAGTATTGTTGTCATCAAAGTTCTGCCTTTTTAAATGTTGTCGTGTTTTGCTTTCAAGGTCAGTTATGGTTAATTAGATGCTGCTCCCTTCTGGGCCGCTTTCAGTAGCTGCTGAGAAAGGAGTTGAGTTTGCTAGTCTTGTGAAACGAAGGACTAGGAGTGCCATAACGGCCGTCTTCCACTATCTCAGGGATTGCCACAAAGAAGGTGGGGGGGGTCAACCTATTCTCCAAACCAACTGAAGGACAAGGACAAGAAGCAAAAGGTGGAAACTAATCAAGGAGGGAAGCAACCAAGAATTAAGGAGAAATTTCCTGACAGTGGGAACAATGAGCCAGTGGAATAGCTTTGCCTTCAGAAGTTGTGGGAGCTCCATCCCTGGAGGCTTTTAAGAAGAGGTTGGACCACCATTTGTCCAGAATGGTATAGGGTCTCCTTCTTGATTGGACTAGAAGACCTCCAAGGTCCCTTCCAACTCTGATGATGGTGATGACGAAGGCGTCCTCTCTGCAGCCTTTGGAGAGGTCACTTGGGTTTTTCGCTTGTGGAATTATTCAGAAGTAGAACTCCAAGCCAAGCAGCCGGTTTATGTTCTTGTTTTAGGTCTCATCCCACTGAAAGAGAGTGGAAAATCTGGGATTTTGCTGTGTAGTTTTTTTTTAGCATAGCATTGGGGGAGAACCAACTTCCTGTAAAGCTGTAGAAATGGGTCCACGTAGGTCCTCCTTGTTTCTGCTCTGCTGTATGAATTTCTCCTTGAGGCTCTTGATCTCTTTATCTTTTTTGGCAGTGCTTCACTCTCCAAGCTTGTTTCAATTTAGCTTCTGAACGTTTTGTTACCAGACTAGGTAACAGCATCAGCAGGATTGTCTTGTCCTATTAGCTTCTGAATGTCTTAGCTTATAAATGTCTTGTATTCCAGTGTGGCCAGTTGGTTGTGTGATTGTTTGTTCCTTTGGAGCTATCTTTACATTCAGAGCAGCTGATTGATTCTCTTGTTGGTTGGTTGTTCAAATGGTCTGGTGTCATGGCCCTGTTAGAGCCCGGTCCGAGGAGGAGGAGGAGGAGGAGGAGAGGCCGACAGAGAGGGAGGGCACAGTCCCTTTGGCCCATGAGGAACGACTTGGAGAGGAGGATGAAGCCCTCCCAGGCCGCTCAGGCTTCAGAAGAGTAGGCAGGGAGGAAGAGAGGGTGCAGGCTGACCAAGGAATGGGGGGAGGAGATGGAAAAGGCAGGCAGCAGACCAGTGCTCCGGAGATGAGCAAATGCTTCTTTCCCCACCTGATCCATAAGTGCAGAGAATGGAGAGGAGGCAGAGTCAGTGCAGGGCGACTCGACTACTACTCGGGAGGAGGGTGTGCCCCACCCCTCCTCCTGAGGATCACCTGGAGAGTAGCATTTAAGGAGACACTGTGGGGAGGGGCTTTTTTCGGGAATAAGTGTTGTATTTTTGCAGCAACACACTCCACGGCTCCCGAGAAGAACCTTGCTCCAGAATCCTTGCTCGCCGTGGAATGACGTTGGATCCTTTGCCCTTGACATTCGTTGTGAACTTGGCCAAGTTTTGCCAAGTCTTGTCCCCAGAGCAGTGCTGCTTCTGTGGACTTTCGCTGCGGGGAAGTTGCCCGAAGCGCCTGTATTTGAGCCTTGCGCCTGGACTGTAGGGGTAACCCGTGGGCAGAGATTTTGGAGAATGGACCGGAACTTGCTGGATTGTGGGGATTGTGGGGACGGTGGTGGAATAAAGGCTGACCAGCTTCCACCTAGCACATGTGGCTTGCATGCCAACCCTGGGTCATAACATCTGGTTTAACACATATTCATATGCTGGATCTAGATCAATATGCTTCTTAATTTCTCCTTTGGTAGAATACCCAGATTCCATAAATTAATGTGTGTGGCGGGTGCTGACATGGCCAGTTGAATAAGTTATATAGATTCTTACGATATTATGTCCTAGATGCAACATATTCATAGCGGACATCGCTGAATTGCACAGCCTTTAACGCTGAACTTTTATTTATTTTTTCCTCTTTCTTCAGCTTTGCTGCTTCTCTATGATGTCACAAACCGAGCATCCTTCGACAACATCCAGGTAAGCCTTGAGGACTCCAGACAGTTTGTGCTGTTGCAAAGATGCAGATGTCCAAAGACTGAATCCATGCAAAGTAGTGTTCTGACCCAAGCCTTGCTCAAATTAAACAAACACAAACTATGTATAAAAGGAAACCATTTTTAATGCGGCACTGGGAATTCTATCCATTCCCAGCCAAGAGTCATTAAAACCTAATTGTCCGAGATAAAAGCAAGCACTTTCAAGTGAAAGGCTGCCAAGAACAGAAGTCTAATTACTGATAAATATCCACCGACAGAAGTTTCAAAAACAAACCGGAGTTAGCAGGGCTTCAATGAGGACTCAGAGTCTAAAGAACTTCTTTGCTTCCTGCAAAGAGCACATCCCCGAGGGCTGGTTTTTATCCCTTATGGGAGGGACCATCACCTTCCAGCCTTACTCCTGAGTTGCCCTAGCTGCTTCAGCTGCTCTCTCCTTCGAGCAGCCCTACACACACACACGCACTGGGCACAGTCTCCCCGGGGACCTCTGCTTCACTGCTGCCAGACTCCAAAAGCTCTGAAGGCAGCACCCCACTCTCTGATAGTCCTGGACCCATCAGACGTGGGCCCCTTGTCCAAGTCCTCGCTAGACTCCCTGACGGGTTCCCTTTCGTCCTCGCTGTCAGAGACCTCTGCCGTCTGCACCTACTGCTGGAGAACCACAGCAAATAGATCCTGCAGCAGGGCAGGTGAACTTCTTATTAGGCTCTTCTCTTTTTCTGAACAAAAGCGATTATACGTATCCCAGGGTAATGTTGCAATCTGGGTTGGCCACCGGGACGAGAGGTTTAATATTCCGAGCTTTCCAGCTTGTGCTTAGTGCATCCTAAGAGAATGTCTCTCTACAGAGGGTGTGCTTTGGGCTCTTCTGTGTGTGGTGTTTATATGGTGCCTATTATATGTGGCTTTTCAGATGTTGATTGGGGTGCTGATGGCTGCCTATTAAGTCCTTGGCTATTGTTTCCTTGTGCTGCCAAGTCCTCAGCTCCTAAGTGGTGGTAAATCAGCTCTCCTATTGACTGACAAGAGGCTCATTTCCCAGGTTTCAATCATTTCTCTGGCTGTTTTTGTGCCTGCTTGCCCAACAATCTTAATACCTTCAAAATTCAATGTATATCCTTGTTCATTGCAGTGTGAGGCTACCGATGAGTTTCGGTCTCTTTGTCTGACTGCTCATTTGTGTTCTTGCAATCTGTTGGTTAGCTTCCTCCCTTTCTGTCTACATAGTCATAGAGGTAATCTTTGCAGGGGATCCAGTAGATTACATTAGAAGTATCTCCCATCTCCAAGCGATCTTTGCAATGCATGATTTGCTGCTTCTCTATGATGTCACAATCCGAGCATCCTTTGACAACATCCAGGTAAGCCTTGAGGACTCCAGACAGTTCGTGCTATTGCAAAGATGCAGATGTCCAAAGACCGAGTCCATGCAAAGTAGCTTCTGGACAGCCTCTGGGAGCCTCTGGACAGCGTACGATGCCCACTTGCAGATCTCGGAAGTTGCTTCCGAAATGTTTTGGATGTATGGCAGGTTGTGCCATGTGGTTTGGTCTTGTACCTTGTTTCTTCCTTTCTCTCCCCTGTAATCTGAAAGCTCGGAAGACCAAACCTCTGGTTCTGGTGACCAACCCACATCGGCTCCTACAACTTCTCCTTTTCTCCTCCATGTTGAGCTTGCTGGTTCTCATCCTCTCTTCCTTCAGACATGGAAGAAAAAAAAAAGAAAGCATGCTAAAAGCAAAATCGAAACCGCCCTGTGCTCTCTTGTCCATTTCTTCTGATGTGAATGGGTTTTTTAAAAAATTGCATCTCTTGTAGAGATAAAGTTTCTGGAACCAGCTCAGCTGGTGCATTTGCCAGGGTGGATCCTTCTCCTTGGGTTTCTCCTGATCTAAAACATGTTTGGACTTCAAAGAGGCGCGGAGAAGGCCAAGATCAGAAGGCCAAGGCCACCGCTGCTTGGCTCCAGCCTCCATAGTGCCTAGTGCAGTTTGGAGAGGAAGTCGGCTCTGTTGAGGTTCCCAGAGAAGTTTCTGTTTGCATGCTGTTGCTGCTGGACAAACTGGCCCCTGAAGGTCATGCGTGGATGCATCAAAGGGCTTCTGCACATCTTAGAACATAGGATGATAACAGAGTTGGAAGGAACCGTGGAGGTCTTATAATCCTGAGCCACAGTGTCAGCAGGTGTACAGGTTCAGCAAGCCCTGGGCATCTCTGGCTCTTGATGCTGAGAGCGGAGAGGGACCAGGTGGCCCACTACTTCCTTCAGTCCTAGCAAACCCAGGGGGTGGCTGCAGCCTGGGAACTTCCGGGAGAGACCACCCTTGCCTGTCCCTCCTTTGGAAGGTCATGAGATGGTTTCTGATCTTTGTCTCCAGAAGTGTAAAAGTGTAAAGGTCTGTCTGAAAGAGGGGGAAATAGGGATGCACCTGTTGGCTAAAAATAACTTCACACCCCCCCGGGGATCAGCCAGGGCTTCAGAATTGGATTCAGACATAACTATTGAGATCTGGGTCTGGCATGAGAGTTGTGATGAAGGCTGGGGATTGGGGTCTCTTTGCTGGATGCCTGAAAAAGGCAGGGGCTCCTTTGAGTTCTGTCTCTCTGCACCCCTTCTCCTAGCTTACAATGACCCAACAATCAGCCCCAGTTCTGAGCAGTGCTGGGATTGTCTGGGGGGAGCAACTCTGCAGGGAAACCACTTGTCCAGGGCTCAGATAGACTTTTGTGATGTCTCCAGCAAAGACTCTCGCGCCCAGAGTCCATTGGAGTTAGGTCTCTAATAATTCTAATAAATAAACAGAATTCTCTCAGCACTTAGATGATCCGGCTGGGTTTTTTTTTTTTTTTTATTGTTGAGAAGAATGCCCTTATGCTGCCTGAACACTTTCCCCAAATGGAACGAGCACGGAGCATTATGTTCTTTTTCTTGAACTTGGAGCTTAGCGCCTTTGCTCCCGCTGCCTCTTAGTGCTCCATAATATGCAGCCCTTCTGCTGACACTGTTCTCTGTTCTTTGGAATTGCCTGGCATCTCTGTCCGTGCAAAGTTAGATGTTTATCAAACGGACTGATAATTGCAGTGCTCTTTCCCTCTGCAAATACAAATAAAGGATTATTAGATACTTCCCGCTGCTGGTGAATACAAAATCACAACCTCCAGTCCAGTGTAGTTCATTCTCTTGCGTTTGGGTGCCTTCGTTTTTGCTTGCCATCCCCTGTGACATGTCTGGCGGGGGGGGGGGGGGGGGGGCCGCGGTTGCTGGTTTCTGTAATCCCCGTGGGCTGCTCTTCTCTTTTGGTGTGTTGGAAGAAATATCCATCTGGTTCAGTTCCAAGCCCGGGAGAAAGACACCGGAGACAAAATGGAGGCTGATTGGAAAGAGGGTTTAATAATGAACAGAACCACCAAGCAGGTGTGATTCTGGGCAGCTGACCACAAGGAGTTGAGAGTGGGGGGTATGTGTGGACTTCAACTCCCAGAATTCCCAGCCAATATGGCGATTGCTAAGAATTTGGGGAGCTGAAGGCCACACCTCTCAATGCTACCCAGGTTGGGAAATGCTGTTTTGAGATGATGATGCAGCACAAAATTACCTGGCATGAATGCAACAACTTGCTCTGATTTCTCCCTACCCCAGAAACTTTTGGAGGGAGTTTCTTGGCCAGGGAATTCTTTGCAGCCTGAAATTTACAAGCAGGACTGCAGTGGATTCAGGGCACTTAGCCCAGCTGAGTAATCAAAAGGTTGAAATTGTGTGCGTGTTTTTTAACCCCCAGGGAATTACTCCTAAAGTTCAGCCTGCATTTGTTCCTCTTGTTCAGCTGTGGGCAGGCGCCATTTGCATCCTTATCAGCCTCTGCAGATTTCAGGCAGTAATTGTGCCCCAAACATCCCTGTCATTTCCAGTGCTCGGGGCAGACAGATTCATAGGCCTGGCTCTGCTGCAAACAGAGGGTTTATTTAACCCAACCTTCACCTTTGTCCGGCTCTGGAAGAAGTTGCTGTTGTCTGCCTCCTGCAGCACAAACTCTGGAGATGACACTGTTTTGGTTTCCCTAAGGCAGGGGTGTGAAACTCAATTTCATTGTGGGCCACATCAGAGTTGTGTTTGACCTCAGGGGGGCAGGGGTGGACGTGGCCAGAGTGAGCATGGTCAGCTTGACGTCACTTGTGTCGGGGTGCCTGTGGTGGCCTGAGCGCTCTGCCGGTGAAAACGGGCTCCCAAGCTCCGTTCCCAGTTGCAACAGCCTCCTGCAACCCTCTGCCAGCGAAAACGGAGCTCGGGAGAGCCACCTTCTGGAGCTCTGTTTTGCTGGCAAAGGCACCGCAGGCCAGTCCTTCGCTGTTTCCAGGGCAGCCCTGGAGGCCAGATCTAAGCACCCCATGGACCGGATCTGACCCCAGGCCTTGAGATTGACACCCCTACCCTAAGGCTTGGAGCAATCTCCAGCTTCCTTTCCCAATGGGCATCCCTGGGCCTCTTCAGCCATAATCTGCTAACCATGGTGGTCAACGTCAGCAGAAGCTTTCAGGAAACCTGCAGTGTAGGAGGGAAGCAGGGGGGTCTTCCCCCTCACGTGAATTTGCGTGGGAGAGGTCTTAGGACTCTAATCACTTGCATGCTGAACAGGAGACAGACGGGTGCTGCCGCTTCAGGAAGGGGCTGGGGCCGTTGGAGGCTGAATCAATAGCAACTTAATTTCCAGCCCATCAGACCTCCTGCTTCTAATTCTGCACACTCAACCTCATCTAGAATGCTCTTTACTAGTTTGAGGGATGGGGGAGTGAACAGTGGCAGTTCTTAGAAGATTGGGAAAAAGTCCTGCAGCCTGGAACAGAGAAAGCAAGATGGGGAGATTTATACCCTTTCGGATTCCTGCAGAAGTACCCTAAGAATGATCGGAGGATTGAATGAGGGAAGTGGGAATATCTGACTTTTCTTCTTCCCTCTGCACAACCCCCGCCCCCACACTTCAT